GGGAGCGGGTCCCTCGGCGCGGCAGGGAGGCACAAAGCAGCCGCCCCAGGCCCACCGGCCGCGCAGCTCCCGCCGTACCCCACCTCGCAGCGCCTTCGCCGAGCGTTTTTTTTGATACCTCTCCCCGCGGCCCCCCCGGGAAACGCTCCCGGCCGGTAGTTCTGGGCGGGGAGGCTCCGTTTGCCAAGAGCAACCCGGGGAGCTCCTGCCGCGATGCTGCCGCTCGCTCTGCTCTGCCTCCCGCTGCTGCCAAGTCACTGGAGCGGAGGAGAGAGATTCTTCCTCCTTCCCGTTCGTCTCTTGTGGAGTCTTCAGGGCTGAAATTACAGAACGGCCCTGAAGCGTTGTGAGACCCTGGCTGCAGGATGTCGGTGCTTTACACCCAGAAAAAGCAGCAGCTGCCGCCTGTCACAGGGATTGTTAGAAAAAAGGGGTCCTACACCGAGACCTCAGTAGCACTTGCAGCGACATGATTACAATAGAATTCCCACAACTTTCTGTTCCCAAATACTCACACTACTTTGATAACTGCTTAATAAAGGAAAGGTTTGCCTTCTGCAGTCCTGTCTTTCAGGAGGTGCACGAGGGCATCCCAATAAATATGTAGGACAGGACGTGGAGTGAAAAGGCAGGATAAAGGGGTAGTATTGTATCACCTACCCCTTTTTTCTAAGGTGTAAATACAGTCTGTGGATTGGGTATTACCTTTTAACTTTCTTTTTTCAAACTAGAGAAGGGACTCCCACACACATGCATCTTTAACTGTGCTGCAACCTAGAGCATAGGTCTAGGAAATAATTAGCTTTCTCATTCTTTCAGCTTATTACCTGGAATACTAAGACAAGGTTTTTAAAAAAAATGAAACAATATGTCAAATATTAGGGCTTAAGACAATGCACATATCTATGAAACAGTGTCTGTAGAGGAGGACTGTTTTACATTTGAGGTTTACAGCAGCTTCAGCTGAAGCATCTGGTACAGGCCTGTGGTAGAAACGCAGTCCAGCCACTTAGAGCCAGCTCTGCTCTACCCTGGAAATAACCATATCACTTTCAAGTTTTTAAAATGGCACTTCAAGCTCAGGTGCTTGCTGAGCAGAATTCCTAAGGCTAGGAAAGTGCATCCTGTCCTTTTATGAACTTCCTACCACAGCTACTGCGAGCCGGTGTGGAGATGGGATCCTGGGGGAGATGGTGCCTGGGTCTGGGCTGGTGGGGTAGATCAGTGAGCTCAGTTTAGGGTTCCAAAAGCCATGGAGAGAAGGGATGGATTTACTATTGGGAATTTGCACTGACTGCAACCTTACAGGATGTAATCACACTCAGAATGTTCATAAAGGTTGTGCTGAGGTATAATGCCAGAGCAAATCCCCCTGTGCTGGGGACAAAGCTTTTCTGATGAGCCGCTGGTTCAGGAAGCTTACAGAGTCACACAGTCCGTGTAACACCTGCCCGAGCAACACAGCACAACAACTTGCTAGAAAAGCAAAGAAATTTGTACAAGTGAGACAAAGACACCTACATAGCACTAGTGGGCTGTAGGCAAAGTAGAAAGTTTGAGAAGCAGATTAGCACAGAATTATGCACCCTACTGCTTACAGCAAATAAACTGATGGAGCCAGCAAAAGAGAAGGAAGTGAGAAAACAAATTAGATAGACAGTACAGAGGGTAAGATGAGCTGTATTGAGACCATCCTCTGATCTGCAGGGAAGGCAGACAAACAGTACTGCTGCACCTGCTGAACAACAGAATGACTGGTAGGGTCACGTACACAAAGACCCTTAAAAGCAGATGTAAGGCTCAGCACACTCATTTCCTAAAACCAGCCAAGCAAAACCAACCTGAAGGGAAGAAACATACTTGCCGATACGTAAATGTTATTAGCAAACAGTATTGCTCCACAGTACTCGCACAGTAAACACAGAAATGAAGAAAGATTGCGGGCTGAATTCACCTACCTGTGACTACATCATGCCAAGTATCACCCCAGTATTACCTTCTGACAGCTGTCCATAGGAAAAATTGAAAATGATGAAAAGCAAGCCTAGTTTTAAAGATTATACTGTTGAGATTATTTAATACTTCCACATAAGGTGGTATATGTGTGCATATATATATATAATATATATTTTTTATATATATATATATATATATAAAATCAGTGCATATATTATGCAAATATCTACACACATGAAGGTGTCCTCAGAGTTCACAATCAACCAGCAGATGAAAGCTGACAGGCCAAGCCTGCATCCCAGCATTTTTGGCAGGGGTTCAGGGACTGGGTTCTACATACTGAAAATGAGTTATATCAGCACTTCTATATGAAGCTACTCATGTCGTATGTTAAGGATTTATTCTGTTATGCAAAAAATGCTCATTCTTAAGTTTCCAAGCTCAGTAGTTGTTTTTACACCCTACAAATGGCTTTCTCGGTACATCTCTTAATGACCAGTATATACACTTTAGCAACGGCAGCAGCACTGACTCACAGCAGACAGTGTGGTGTTACTACGGGCTTATTGCGCTGCGGTTTTCATTACCCGGATAGAAGAGCTGCTTCAAAGCAGCCTCTGCAACCCCAGGGTTTCCACAGGGATTTACTATTCCATAAAATATAAAGCTATCCCTGATCCTGGCCAAGTTGAAAGAGTTAGGGGTGATAAAAAAAAGGGTTTATTAAACTATTTTTGAGACTTTTGTTTAACCTTCTCACCTCTTTCATACATGAATGCTCATCCTTTGGTTTCTAAATGGAGATAGCTACTGTTCCTTACTTATGAGAGACCCCAACCAGCTCTGCCTCTTGAGAGCAGTCCTTACTGAACACAGATGGCTACTGAGCAATGTCAAGGTGCTCGTGTGGCATCCGTCATGATCGTGATCCTAACAGGCTTTTCCCTGCCTGCCCAGGAGACCTCCTGGCTCTGCCAAGGAGCGACTGCATCGCAGCAGAACAGCTGTGCCTCTCGGACCCTGCCTGCAATGTCACCTACAGGACCCTGGAAGACTGTGCCCTGGCCAAGACTCATGTCCTTCCGCTGGACCACAACAGCAGGGTCAGATGTCTGAATGCAGAGCTCACCCTCGGGAACAGCTCTTTGCTGCACTGCAAGTGTCACCGGCGCATGAAGAGGCAGGAGCACTGCTTGCGCGTCTTCTGGACCGTTCACTCCAGCGTGACAGATGGTGAGATGAAATAACACGAATTTACAAGGTGCTAGTGAGACTCACCCTGCCCCCCCATCTGAAAGCAACTACGAAAGGCCACTTCCCCACACTGCAGGCATCACTTTGGAACCACATCTCCTAGTGAAGAGAATTCATTCCTGCTCTGTTTGATAAGCAGAGGAAGCTGATCTGGTCTGAGACCGCCCTTCAAACACACTGCAGACCCTAAGAGACAAAGGCCGCTGCTCTAAGGCAGTTAGATTTAGTGCTTGAGGAGATGCTGCTCTGAAAAATCACCTCAAAATCGTCACGTCTACCCTCACTGAGAACAGACGTGTGATTATGACATGCACTGTAATGGCACCCTTAACCATGCTGCTTCTGTCCAGCTTTAGTGGGGGCTGCCTGTGCTGTACATCTCCTCACTGGTTCTGAAGCTGAAAAAAGCCAAGTGACAACACAGACCAAATTCCATCCAGAGAAAATCTGATGACAAAATGTAAGGCTGTTTTTACACAATCATACCTTTACATCTGTAGCAGATCCAATCTTGGCATTTGGCTTTGGGAAAAACAGAGCATCTCTGAACTCCAGCCTGAGGAAACAGCCAGGCACAAATAAGAAAAAAAATTAATGAAGAAAAAAAAAAAAAAAAAAAAAAGCATAAAATATCTTGTATCTTGCATAGGTTACTTCAATTTGGAGACCTCTCCCTATGAGAACCCAGCAAACGAAGAACATTGGAAGACAGATTATAATAAACTGGCAGCTCTGTTATCAGGTAAGGATTGTAATGGTTATGTGATACAATGCTGCCCTTTCTTACCTTTTCAGGGGCTGAAAATTGTCAAGAAGAACAGTTTGGGGTAGTGGCCTCTTTAATCAGAGGAAACCTGTTCTGGATACTTGCTTAAATTTGTACCCCTACCAAGTGTAAATATAGCCACAGATCTGGGCCCATGAAACAGGGAATAACCCACAGTGATGCATTCTCTGAAACAAACCCCCCAGCATGAACCAATAAAAAAATACACTTTTGTAGCTAATGTAACTGTAGTGTCATACTACAGGCACACAGCAGGACGCATTTGCTCTGTCCTTTCTGATGTTCCCAATATGACCACCAAGCAAGGGCTACTCCTGTTTCCACACAGAATCTCTCCTGGAGACTTGCTTCCCTGTCTCTGGGTTTCTTTTGACTTTATAGGCTCACAGTTAGCAGGAGATGCAACAAATCCATGCCTGAAAGCAACTCATGTCTGTAATCTGAGCAAGAAGTGCGTTCGTCTGCGCACAGAATATGCCTCTATCTGCACCAGGGGAGCAGGAAGCGAGGACACGTGCGACCGTCGCAAGTGCCACAGAGGGCTAAGGAATTTCTTTGAGAAAGTCTCTGAGGATTTCACCAAAAGGATCCTATTCTGTCCATGTCAGGATGAACTTTGTGGAGAACGACGCCGGAAAACTATTGTTCCTGACTGCTCCTTCCAGTCTAACACCAAACCCAATTGCCTCTGGCTTCTGGACTCCTGCTTAGAAGACCATATCTGCAAGTAGGTCTGGCAGCAGCGGACACTAGCCAAGAGAAGAGAACTGCATAGACACTGATAGTCTCATTTTCCTTCCTACAGATCCCGACTGGCTGACTTCCAACAAAACTGTCAACCTGCAGACATGTCTCCAGATGGTTGCTCTCAGCACAACCATGCTGCATGCCTGCAGGCTTACATGGGGATGATTGGTAAGTGATACCCACAGCAACACACAGGGTGGATGCTTTCAGGCCACAGACTTGCAGGCACGCTCCGATGCTGTGAAGGACCATCTTGCTCTCCTGCAGGAGATAGCGCTCAGTATAGCAATGAACATCCTTAGCCTAATGGATGCTAGTGCTCCCTCTTGCTTCTGAGGTAAATGCAGCCCAAAAAGAGCCCTTCCGTGGCATTTATCCTTCTGTGGCACGTATCCCATCCTCTGCTGTCGAATCAGCAGCACTTGCTGAGATTTCTGAACACCTGTTTGCATCATCAGCTGGTGCAAGGTGCTCTAAATGCCTGACTGACAGGGAGTTCTGGGCCCATATGAACTGTCATTCTTGCTGCAGGAGTTACATCCCATCACAGCAGTGATTAAACATGACATTCCCTCACTGCCATCCCGATGGTTTGATAGCGTTGTACACACTATTTTCTCAGGGCCAGCCAGAACAGGGCACTGCCAGCTGTTAGAGGAAGGTCATCTTTGGGTTTGGGCATTCACTGCCAACCTGCTAATACTTTTTCAGACCAGCTCAGAAGAGGAGCTGTAAAGAGCAGCAACATTTCTGAAGCTGTAAATCTAGTCTATACCTTCCGGTTTTCCAGATGTCTTTGTTGGTTTTGTGCTGAATGACTGTTAGAGGTGTGCAGCATTTGTTTGGCAAAAGGCGTTTGGCCACGCAGCAGGAGCCTTGCGCTGCCATATGCCAGTATGGCTGCGGAGCCCCCGCAGGCCCTTCACACCCCTTGATCTAACGCTGCAGGTACACACGTGCCTCGCCAGCAGACTGCCCGAGGCAGGGGTGGCCACCTCCAGACCTCCTCACAGCTCAGCAGACGTCACGTAGATTGACCAGGCCTGGGTGGCCTCGCAGGGGCTCCCAGCCTCCCCGGGTAATGCGTACATCACGGTGGAAGGCTTCTGCCTCCAGCATTCCCTGCAGTGTAACAGCACACGCGATGCTTCTTTCGTGTGGTGAAGTAAATCCTGATTCCAGTTTCTGTGGGTTTGGGACAGGCACGCCCATGACACCCAACTATGTCAGTAACTCCAGCGTGGAGATCTCCCTGTGGTGCACATGTGAGAGCAGCGGCAACCAGAAGGAGAAGTGTGACCAGATACTTGGCATGTTTGAGAGCAACAAATGCCTTGGTAAGCATCAGTCATTTCGCAGAATCAGAGAAACCCAAATACTGTTGATTTGAAGACCCTACAGTGCATTGCTCTTGCATATAGTTCTGTCATCTTCTGCAGTGTCTCCATGATCTCCTGTCCAACCCAGGGGACAGCCTGGCTCTGCTTTCAGAAGTGTTTCTGTGACACTTCTGTAACAGTTTGGTGACACTTCTGTTATCTCAAACACCACAAAGCCATTTCCCAATAGCATTCAAATGAAGGGGTTGCAAAAAAATCACAAGGGGAGGTCAGACTTGCTGTATCCAGAGGTTGCTGAGTAACCACATCAGTGCAACAGGATTATGGGGTTTGGGTCTCCTCCTCCCCCTCCTTTCCTGGCCTGAGGGCCTTCTGCCCTCACTCACTGAGTGGAGATAACCAGCTCCTGACACAGACCCTGTTACTGGCTTCAGCAGCACAGCAGTTACAAAAATCCTGTTACATGCAGCTATGTAATCCTGAGTCTGTATTTCTTTTATCTCCCTAGCATATTAGCAACAGACCTTAATAAGATTTAAATATTTTATATTTGTAAAAGCTTCCAAAGGATAGCAAAGAAACCAGCATCATTAGATGATTAATATTTAAACCTACCTCCTGCTGTATAGAAAAGCCTTACACCCAGCACTATAGATACGCCTACAACCTAAACTCCATCTGAGAAGCTACATACCTGCTCCCTTGCAACATCGACAGCTGGGAAAATCCCAAAGGGACCCAAAGGTCCCCAAGTACAGTGCAAATTGGCTTTGCAGTCTGCTCAACCTCACAAGTAAACCCACAAACTAACAGGCCATTCACTGAACAGACAATGTGTATTTTCTAAGTGAATGCCACACACCTGCAGGTGCCATTTCCTAAAACAGCTCCCCCGGACTTCTGCTCGCTAGACTCCAAAGTGTGCACAAGAAAAGCACAATAAGACTCTTGCTTTACTTCTGTTTGCAGAAAATACCATTTGGTCTCAAATGCACCTGAAGCAGACAGCTGTAGAAAGACAGGAAGACTTATTTTATTCATCTTCCCTAAGCTTCCAAGGAGACAGTGCCAGCACATCCCTTGCTTCAGAAATGTCCCAGGTATGCATTGCTTTGTTGCCTTCACAAACCAGCGAGTCAAGCGGCCTGCAGACAGTAGCTGAAATACCCTGGATCTGGAAATGCGTGACTTTGGACATCAGAGTGAGCGATGCCACATGCATGCAGAACCCTGGACCACTTCACCTTGAGCCATTCCTTGAGACAGGCAGAAACAGGCTGTGCTGCCTGGCCACAGGAGTTCCCCGCAGCCTTATAGTGCTCAGAACTGGATGCTCTGCAGCCAGATGTTTGAGCATCAGTGTGTCTAACTGGGATTCATTCCTCCTTTCATTTCCTAGGTGGCTGAAGGGAAGACACAGCGAGACATCTCCGAGCACAGCAGTATGCCCATGGCCTCCTCTGTATACTCTGGAGCTCCTATTGCTTGGCCGTCTCTGGTTCTGTTCCTGCCTCTATTGCTAAGCCCATGTTAACTTGGCATAAATGGCATCATCTTTCCTTCCCATATAATTAATACTATTCTACATCCAGGCACCTCCCACTACTGCTTTACCTTTGGGAAGCAGAAGGCTTCCAGAAAAGAGGAATGGAACCGCCTTAACCCAGAAGAGCAGTCACTGAAAACCTCCCGCTAGCTTGCACCCCACAATCACCCCATCACTTTGCATTGAGCTCTGCAGACACGGTGCCCACCATTGCTTCTGCCCTGTCAGCATTCTGAGAAACAGCCAAGCTAATATTCCAGCACAATATTTTAAAACCAAGGTCTGAGTTCTGTCAGAACTTGTGCAGGTTTGATTTCCGACTGCAGGGAGGGACCTGACACAGTCTGTCCTACCACCCCACCTTCTGGAGCTCTTCCTCAGGCCTAGGCTCATGGAACAGTTTGCGTTGGAAGAGACCTTTAAAGATCATCCTGTCCCACCCCCTGCCCCAGGCAGGGCCACCTTCCACTAGCCCACGTTGCCCAAAGCCCCGTCCAGGGAGGGGCAGCCACAGCTTCTCTGGGCAGCCTGTGCCAGGGCCTCACACTTCCATCATAAACAATTTCTCCTTGTGTCCAACCTAAACTACCCTCTTGCAGTTCAAACCACTGTCCCCTGTCCCGTCACTACAGGCCCTGGTGAAAAGCCTCTCCCTGTCTGATGATCCCCTCATACACTGAAAGGACACCATAAGGTCTCCACAGCCTTCTCCCCTCCAGGCTGAACCACACCAACTGTCTCAGTCTCTCTTCACGGGAGGGTGTTGCAGCACTCTCACTGTTTTTGTGGCCTCCTCTGGACCCGCTCAAACAGGTCCATGTCTGTTTTGTTCTGGGCACCCCAGAGCTGGACGCAGGACTCCACATGGGGCAGAGCAGAGGGGGAGAATCCCCTCCCTCGACCCTCCGGCCACGCTTCCTTTTGTGCAGCCCAGGACAGGATACGGCTTTCTGGGCGCAGGCACCCGTTAGCAGCTCGTGTCCCCTTGTTCATCCCCCAGTATCCCCAAGTGCTTTTCTGCAGGGCTGCTCTCAATGCATTCATCCCCCAGTCTGTACTGGTACTGGGGATTGTCCCAGCCCAGGTGCGGGACCTTGTCCTTGGCCTTGTTGGACTTCAGGAGGTTCAGGGGGATCTGCTCCTCAAGGCAGAGCACAGCTTACCATACTAAAGACTACAAGTCCGTGCTCCAGGGCGGGTTACAAGTAAAGCTCAATAAACATACCCATAATGTCCCTGGTAAACACCAGTTCTAGATTAGTTTCAGTTCCCTTTTCAAATCCATTCTTTCAAGTATATGAAAAATACCATCCCAGTTCAAGGACACTACACTACAGTTTATATTCTTGCTTCTTTCTGTTTTGCCCCTTGCAACATACATGTATCACCCATTATCATGGTTAGCAACTGATTTGCGTTTTTTGGGTTACGATGAACGTGCTCAACCCCAGTAAATTTAGTCTCATCTAGCGAAGGATGATCTTGCCTGGCCTCAGGACCAACCTTCTTCATAATGCTTAGAGAATGCATATAGCTCTTTGAAGCTGTATTGACCACAAAACCCCTGGGACATTCAGTTGCAAAAATCTCTGGGAGCTGCAACTACCTTCTACCTTCCCACATACTCCAGTTGTCATTGTCCCCTTCCGTGCTGCCTGCCCAATCTCCTCCTCTCTGCCAAGACATTTCATGACCTGTTTATTCTTAGTGTAAACGTGTGCACTGTGTAACTGCTGTTTTGTACTGCATTTGCCTGTTAAAACATGGTGTTAAGTGAATATTGATTTCTGAGCATAGGTTAATAGTCCACAATCAATTGTGTGCAAGAGTTGCCTCATCAGCCAGCCTATGCTTCCAGGAGCTAGAAGCTCAGCTCAGAGCAGCTCCTCGGTGGGCACACACCCTGCCCCTTGCACATCCTATGATACACAACAGATCTGGACGTGGTTATACGCAGACAGATAATACTACAGTCCCGAACAGATGCAGAACAGGTGGGTATTTCTTTTTACCCTGTGCTTTATATGCTGCCAGCTAGGTAATACACTGGTTCCCAGTCACTGCCAGACACACCTTCTCATTACAGAATCCTATGTTGTCGTGTGGATCAGAGTAACTGTCCTTCCGAGGTGTAACACTTCCATTTCAAATTCCAGCCTTCTCTTTACTTCCTGGGTGGGTAGGGCAAGCACATCACTGCATCAAGCAGAACCAACTCCTCTGTTGCACGGAGAAGCAACATATTATTTCCGTACAGTAGGAACAAATATCCTGTCACCTAAATAAAAAGGAGTACGAATGCTGGTATTTGATTACCTACTGAAATGTGGCTACTTGGATCAAAAGCCAGCACTGTTTCCACATGTTTGCTACCATTCTTTAATGAAAACAGAGTCCACGTTACCATATTCTAATATCTACACTAGTCCATCCTACATACGGTGGGACTAGAAACATGTCAAGACCCTTGACTGCAGTGTAATAGCATCTGTCATCTCCAGAATTCAGTGGAGAGTAACAGGGGAGAAGATGATGTTCTTTCCAGTATTCCACAAACCAGTGAGGCTATCTGCAAGAATATGCAGTAGATTTCCTTGAGCCGTCTGTACCACACAGTGTGCTGCATTCATCTTCCACTCATCTGCACTCTGATCTTTCCTCCTTCCCCGCTTCAGTGCTCCAAGACAGGCTGATATGGAAAAAGGCACCAGCATTCTGTTGTTCATATTTGGGGCACTTTGGCCCCTTACCCCTACTAAGAAGGTTATTCATTGCAACTACAGCCTCCTCTCATGTCTGGGATTACATCAAAAAATGGTTGACACTCAGACAAATCCTGCTCTAGACAAATCAAAGCAAAACTTGCCAGTTTGGGTTTTTCTCCAAGTGTCCCTATGACCCTTTCACCCGTACTCTGCACCCTTATGTACATGGCTGCTCCTTAGGCTTGTCCATCAATAACTGCAAACACAATTCACCTCTAAATACACCTGCATTCACAGGTACTCACACTGCTATGAGTGCAAACCCATTTTCACTTAGATTTTTGTAACACCTGATCTCCAAATCTCATTTATTCGACTGCACAGCAGACATGTATGCACAAGTGCAACTACTGCTAGAAATGCCATGCCAGTATCAGCATCAGTTCAGTTCTGTAAGCACCACCAATGCTCAAAGACTGGCAGTTACCTAAACCCATTCAGAACTGTTCTTACTAACCATACTAGAGGGCAATTTACAAAAAAAACCCATCTTCTATTCACCAGAAACTGGAATACAACATCCCATGAGTACCTTTGGTTTAAATACAAAAATAATCTAACAAAAATTCACTGTCCAGATAGCCTTAACATTGAGCTCTCAGCAGGCATATACAAGGAGGGAACCTTCTAATTGTTGTAATGTAGATTATTTTTAAAAGTGTAAAATAATGCCAAATCTCTCAAATAAAATTTATCTTCCATCTCTAGAAGTCTCCTGCCTTTCTTTGCATTGAATAGAAACTGCACTCTTTGTCTCCTACTGCTGGAGGCATTATGGGAAAGAAATTTAAAGAACAGAATTAGACAATCTTTCACAAAACAATCTTAACAACTTCTGCAGCCATCACGCGCTCATGTCCTTTGACATGCCTTCTAGAACTCCAACGTAGCTTCAGATCCCTTAACAGGGTCTATGTAGCATTCACAAAGGGTGTCAACAGTCCTTCTCCAGCAGTGAGCTCTGTCACAGTTGGACAAGTTGTTTCTTGTGTGATGAGTGGGAGAAGGAATACACTCCTCTTGCCCAAGATCATAAAGTGATACCAGAGATAAGCCTTGAATTTGGCAGTCCAAAATGACTGTGTTCTTACCTCATTAAAATAATTCCCACTGCCTCCAACAAATGCACATTTGCATTCAGAATCAAGGGACTGCAGTTTTCCTTTTAAAAGGGGGGCACAATATGTATCCCAGATGAGGAAAAGCTAAGCTTTACTTCAAACAGTAATTCCCGGTCACAGATCCCCCGCATGCCTCTTAAAATCTGCTGACAATGAAAGGTAACTTCGAGTTGAGAAGACACTGTGGGCTCAGCACCGAGAAAGAACGAAAGTATCTTCTTCAATACATCCTAAAAATCACAAGTCACTGTTTGCCAAAATGATAGACAACTTCTCCCAAGAACAAGAGGGAAAACTATCAAAGTAATTTCTGAGGTGCCCATGAACCAGAGTAGCTTTTGGGGACAACAGTGGAGAATCCGGAAGCCAACCAGCACCGCTGAGCTCGGAAGGACCGTTCAGCACGGCCGTGCAGCCACAACCAGCTGCTACTCTACAGTTGCTCCCCCCATCCAAACAGATACTGGTAAATACAATCAGAGGCTGATCACTTCTACCTCAGGGATTTTGTGGCTGAACCTTTCTTCAGATGAGGGAGGGTGGGTTGAGACTGAGCTTGGTTTAGTCTCTAATGGAAGCTCTTCTTATAGGTGATTAGCTCTCCTCCAGGAAGTGACTTTGTGTTTGGGTTTCTTGCAAACCCCAGGGTTAGCAGAGGTCAGGGCATGCAGCACTTTCTCCAAGTGCCTTCATGAAAATAGCCCCACATACCTTCCATTTACAGCTGATCACCTCCATTATCCACAGGCTAGGAGGAGATGATCAGCAATTGTTAAGTGCTTGAATCAGACTAATAGCTCACTGCTAATTCCCCCAGTAATGTAAATCTAAATTCCTGGTAAACAAACTGACTGCTTTTCACACACAGGGATGAATGCCAAAAGCCTAATATTAGAGCTCTGGAGCTAAAGCTTTTAGAGCAATCCTGTCCACTCAAAGATGTTTAATGACATTATATTATGTACTAAATAATTAGAAAATGAAGGCCCGCTTGGAATCAATGGGTTACTGTCTAATTAAGATGAAAAAGGGTCTCTACCCTGTTTTAAACAAGTTTATACTAAAATGGCATACCTGATAAATGGCACTGATAACTATGTCTTTACCTTTGGGCAGAACAAGGCAGCCATTAAGCTAGCACAAAATAATTGTGTGATTTTTGGCTCATCTCATTGGTCCCACCTGTTTTCCTGTAAGGCATGAGATTGAGCTGTTTGTCCCCTCCCACCGTCAGATAACAACATTTATTAAGCAACATTCAAATAGCTTATTCTGATGGAGAGAAAAATTATAGAATCATACAGAATCACAGACTGGGTTGGGTTGGGAGGAGCTTCAAAGACCATCCTGTCCCACCCCCTGCCCCGGGCAGGGCCACCTTCCACCAGCCCAGGTTGCCCAAAGCCCCGACCAACCTGGCTTTGGACCCTTCCAGGGAGGGGGCAGCCGCAGCTTCTCTGAGCAACCTGTGCCAGGGGCTCACCCCCCTCACAGGGGAGAATTTCTGCCTTCTATCTCATCTAAATCTCCCCTCTGTCAGTTTAACCCCTTTCCCCCTCGTCCTATCCCTCCCCCTGATGACGAGTCGTCCCCCCCTTTCCTGCAGCCCCTTTCAGCCCTGGGGGGCCGCTCTAAGGTCTCCCCGGAGCCTTCTCTTCTCCAGCTGAACCCCCCAACTCTCTCAGCCTGTCCTCACAGGGGGTGCTCCACCCCCCCCAGCATCTCCGTGGCCTCCTCTGGCCCCGCTCCAGCAGGTTCGTGTCCTTCTGCTGTTGGTGCCCCCAGAGTTGGACCCAGCCCTGCAGGGGGGTTTCATCTTTGCCTTTGTTTTACTGCGTGGCCAGAATTCATACCACTAGATGCTTGAAAAGCTCAGAGATGCAGGCTGGAGCCTCTAGAGCCACTCTGCAAGAAGAATTGCTAGTGAGGTTGAGAACATGGGAGATTACAGTTATCTTGTTGTGTAGATAAAAAGACCGAGGAATATTCTATTGATTATCTGACTGAATACAAATTAATTAGTAAATTAATTAATCTGAATTATATCTGGGCAATCTCTCATCAAAATAAAGAGCAAAATTATAGAAAAGCACTAGAGTTAGAGTAACTGGAACTATGTATCTAACAATTTGTACCCCACTTCCATTGTACAACACACACACATACTCTGTTGCATGTATCATCCCCTTGAAAATAGTGCAAGAACAAAACAGTTGCATGAGACTTTGGTTTTCCTTCTCCTGCCACAACCATCTATGATTCCACATCTGAAACTAAAATAAAGATTCTGATCTTGATATTCCTATCTTCCTCCTTCCAGTATACTGCTCAGGTAAGGAAAACACAAATGTTTTCCCATAATGATGCTTTTTGTTCTGTGCCCATTCCTACTCCCAACTTTTTGGCATTTGGTCAGGGAGGAACATTACATGGGAACACCTGCATTGCAACACATACGGAAAGCCCAAATCAAAATTTTGTTTTACAGTGACATATTCAGTAAGAAAAAGCTTCAAGCTGTTTTATATTCTGGAACTGCTGTTGCAGATAAATTCCCCTGGCATCCACAAGTGACTAATTTAAACTCCACCAAAACAAAAACATTTATTCCATTATTGTGAGACATATAAATCATAACACATTTGCTCTCAGAAAAAAGCAAGTTTTACGTGACAGGTTATATGTATGAACTTGCGACTGTGATAACAAGAGACTGGACACAGAAGGTTCCTTGCAGTCTTAAGTCCCTAAACAAAGCAACTGGAAACTTTTCAAAACTATCTTCCACGATGTTTGTCCTATTTTACTTACTCTGGTTTTGTTCTTAAAACACTGGGGATTCCAGTGGACTACAGAAAGGGTGATTCCGCCCCAGATTTCTTTTAAAACATCCAGCACTCAGCAGTTATAAGCAGAACATAATAAAATGTGTTTTCTCCTAAGAAAAGGACACTGTTAAAACCAAGCTGACTTCAAACCTACACGCCAGTTCAGAATCCTGAATCAGATTTCACCACGGGCTCTCCAAAAAAAGTGCCAAGGACTTTTAAGAACTATGGAGTATCAGTTATAATTTAGTTATAATTCCTTTTACCTAGGACTACAGGAGAACAGCACATGAGTCGGAATAATGACAAATGTTTCTTCATAATGGGACATGTTAATATTCCAGATCACACATGCCAGATAATTATGTTCTCTAGGCACCTATTATCGCTGGAGTCTCTTACGTGCTCGCAGATTCACACACAACTCGCTCAGGAAATGTTTTAATAAAGGGTGAGCAAAGTGCCACTGTACTCTCCTCCCTTTCACTTCTTTCCCCACCAGTCTAGCACTTAATTACTTTTCCTTCTATCTGAGTTTGTCCATTAGATACTGTCATTATAGGTCACTGAACCTCACTGCAAGGAACTGAAATTTCTTTAACCATCTACACACTGTTGCTTTTCAAACCAGCAGCTTTTTTTTTTTTTTTTCCCTAAAGAATCTTTTGATTAACTGAAGTCAATTTTGCTAAGTGCTAGTGGCTCTCAGAAGCTTGTTGTGCCAGTGATCCCCTGGGCTCCATTATGTTTTCAAGGGTATAAAACAGGAATTGCTCAGTCTTTCTGTAGAAATGTGAGATTAGCAGCTAATTCTTCCAGCCTCAAGCTCTTTGGATTTCATTCCCATCATTCCAGATCAGAGCATGTGCTTCTTCTATGTCAATTCTAGCAGAAATTATTGAAGAGGTTTCCCATCTTTCTTCTCAATTTCAATCTAGCCTTGTGCAAAATTTTGAATGCACAAGGACTCCAGGTCCTCAGATAGACTACACAACTGATGGCTATTCCACATCCAACCGGGAGCTGCAGTGGTATCACATCAGAAGCACATTTTTAGTGCACTGAACACTTAATTCTTAATATGCAAATACAAATCACAGTACAAATGGAATTAATATGGAACTGCAAGTCAAAGTGCAACTGCAAGTTTTACATATACTTTTAACCCAGAAAGTCCCTTAAGCAGAGAGAGATAGTGACTCCTCATGAAGGAATTTACTAACAAGTTGGGAGAAAAATCTCAGCTATTTTATTCATACTACATAGGACATCCATTCCATCCACAGGGCTAACACCAAGCCTGCTCAAGGCTGGCCTCTATTCTCAAGCATCTCCAAGTTATATCTACCACCTGGTAAATCAGGCACAATAAAATGGTAAGGAAAGGAAAAAGATGATGAGTTGATCAATTTACTAGATTATTATTAATTTCTTTTTGATTGATCTCATCTTAGCAGATCTCACCAGGTCCTACTATTACTCATGATATCATAGTATTACTCAGGTGGATACCTGTATTTTATTCCAGGTTTTCAAGCATGAACTTTGCAGTTCAGATTCCAGTTGCCTAAGTTAAGGCATAACATTTCCAAAACTTAGTCTAACACCCTGTTTTAAGACCCAAGTAATTCTTCTTCTTCAAATGTCTTTTATGTTTTAGTTCTGATTATGTCCTCAATCAGAAATGCCATAGACACTAGTAAAAAATGGTCTGCACGCTTGCTAATCCAATAATTCACTTCTGTGTTTGAAATA